TTCAATCATCGCTAGAGCAGTGGAGAAAACAAGTATCCGGAATGGGAATAGACATAGGCGGTGGTAAATGTCTAATAACTTTATTTTTCGCAGATGATCAGGTGGTCGTAGCGGATGATGAGGAAGACATGGACTACATGTTTAGAAAACTAAAGAAAGAATATGAAAAATGGGGCCTTATGTCAAAGACAGAGTATCTTAAAATAGGAGATGACGAAGAAGATCCAGAGTTAGAAATTCACATGATCCAGAAACACAAAAAGATGCAATAAAGATAAATATCTCGGATCTATAATATCTAAATAAGGCACTACCAAAAGAGATATCGAAAACTGAACGCAGCAGGGAAAAAAGCGATTAAGATTCTAAAAAAATAATAAAAATGGTCTAAAAATATTCTACAAGAAAGAAAATTGACAATATATCGAACCTTAGTAGAGCCTATTATGACTTATGGGGCAGAAGTTTGACAAATCACGAAAAAAGATTAAAAAAGAATAGAAGTAGTAGAAATGGATTTTCTAAGGAGAGCGTGTGGTGTATCCAAAAAAGATCATATCAGGAATGAAGATATTAGAAGGAGGACAAATACTGTATATTCCAGTGTAGACAGAATTGAAACGAGACAACTAGTGTGGTATGGTCACGTGAAGCGAATGAATGAAGATAGATAGAAAAAGAAAGCTTTAAATTACATACCACAACAAGGAAGAAGAAGGGGAAGGCCTTCAGTTGCCTGGGAAGAAAATGTACGACACCTAATGAAAGATAGAGCCATCAAAGAAGACGAATGGATGGACAGAGAACGATGGCGGTCGAAATGCGAGAGGCGGCAGAGGCTGTAGGAACCTGCTAAGTTTATTATAAATGTTTTACCTCTATACCTTAGGTGTTTAATATATTATCAAATATTAAGTACTTTCAAAATATGTATGTTACCAGCAATGTCTGAAATTGGACAATCCTAGCATTGTATGAAAAATCTTATCCACTTCTAGCATTGTACCGCTTTACCACAGAATAATAAACAATCAGATTGCCTACTCTATTTGAAAAAAATAAGTACGCGCATCTCGTTCGCACAGACGGAATCAGCCATATTTTAAATGGAACCAGTGATGTTCAGTGACATTTTATCTGGTGTGCACACTAATTACCCCGGTAATTACCTGGTGTGTAGACAAATTAACTCGGTTTAATTTATTTTCGGCAACTACAGACATAATATGCACTATTTTATTCGTGCTTTTAATTAAAGAATAGATTAAATTATTTCAAATTACTAAACTATTAATCTGTTAAAATTTAAATTACAGTTCTGTCGTAGCTTGTCACAAATTTCTCAATTCGAGTCTATGTTTCCGTCTAAAACATGGCGTTCGCGTGCTGTCAAACTTCAACGGCGACATCGGAGAGTGGGCATTCTGATTGTTATTTATTCTGTGCCTTTACTGTACATTCTTCGAAATAGACATAATCGTCAGACTTTATGTAAAAGAATTGCTGTACATTGTTTGAATTTCAATAAGTAGCCATGCGTCAAAGTTTGCGACAATATGACAGATATCGATTCATATCTTACATCTTTACTAACATTATCAATCCATTGTAGAATAATTTCATGTTTTTATTTATATTTTAGTTGGACACAGTATTTTATCACATTGTCGATTTGAAATAGAACTACTTTATATATAAATAGAAAATATGAAATAATTAACAAGAACTGTTCGATTTTTGAATTGGTGTGTCGCTTGTCAATAATAATCGATTCGAATCAATGAGCGTTTCGATAGTCATTTTTAATTTTGGTCATTTCGGACATCCTACAGTTTGGGGAAAGTGGACAATAATTTCCGTACAATGCTAGGATTTTCCAATTTCGTGCTTTGCTTGTAACATATATTAATTTAAAAAATACAAATATTCCTATTAAGTATGCAACTAATAATACACTGCAAATGCCATTCGCAGCTTGATGGTAAATTTTATGTAGTATATGATATTGTATTGAGAGATATTTCTGCAAACGTGAGCTAAGTGTTAACTAGATTGTGCCCTTATTGCGTAGGCCAAATAATTGGTAAAATCTTTCAATTGGAATGTCTTAAACTGACCAAAACTTTTCGAATCGTCGGATTGTAATTTTGTACCTTGTGCCAAATTTTCTACCTACAAAATTTTTCCTATTCCTAGTCAAATATGTATAATGAGATAATCTAGATGTTTTTGAGTATAAGCATTGTCGAAAAAATCTGAGCATGGATGGACTTGACTATTTTTGAAAAATGTATACTTTTATTGGACGTATGCAAGATTTACATGTGATCACCTTGAACGTAACAATATTTATTAAATGTTATATTAATATATCTTACTCTAAGTATCATTGTACCTAATACAAAAATCAAATAAATATTATGTACCTTTCGTTTTATCTTTATTGTAAAGAAGCTATGTTAACCCTCTCACGCATTGAGTCCGCTGCGGTGGACAGATTCTTTTAACTCCAAAGAATATATTTTAATTCTATGAAACTTGTGCAAAATGCGTGAAATCCTTTTCAGTGCACTCTATTCAAATAGGTACTACCGCCATTGTCAATATTTATTTTGAAATTCAAAGTTTGTTTATGTTTAACCTGACCGCGATGGCCACCTGCGAATTGCCTGAAATAAGTGCCCGTAGTTTTTATGGAAAAGCAAACAAAAAGGTAAGAAAATATTTTTCTTGTAGAATTATGTATTTTACACAACTGGCCCTTGTTATAATTTCAAAATAATTGAAAACTTACTGAAAACATCGCCTTGAAGTCATGTCCACTAGACTGGACGTCATGCAATATGTAACTTAGAATTTCACTCTTGCGGTATGTTTTATGAGTATAATTTTCAGAGGGTTAGTAGCTTTCTTGTTCACAAATTTTTTGTTATTTTCTTGTCAAAGATTTATTATTGATTTATGGATTTTCGAGGGCATTTTTTTATGTAGTTACTTACCTATATTATTTCAGTACAAATAAATAAATTTTATTTATTGACATAATATTACTTCTTCAATGGGAAATTTTATTCTATTTCAGAAAGTACTTTTTGCTGATGAAGACGACAATAGGGATGAAATACCTTTATGTTTACCAGAAAATGAAGAATTTATAGGTATTGACAATGATGACATTATTTGTGATTTACTAGAAGGTTCAGATTTGGAATCTGATTACAATGACGAAGAGACGTATTCACTCGAACATGTAACGGCTGAAGACCAAATTGATAAAAATTACTTAGAAGAAATACAGCCAGAAAACAGTGACGATGACATTCCATTAGCTCAGCGTATTTTGGCATTTTGATCAAAACGTAAAAGTCCAGAGAAAAAATCAAAAAGGCTGAGAAAAAAGATTGGAAATGGTGCAATAATGACAGCATGGATGGGCCAGCAACTTTGCCACAGTTTAGAGGAACAGAAAGCCATTAAACATATTCATGTTTAAGGAAACAATCCAATTGATTATTTTTTATCACTGTTCACTGCAGACATAATGGACGATATCGTCTTTCAGACCAATTTATATGCTGGCCAAAACAATAAATTAAATTTTGGTTTTACAAAATATGAGTTATATACTTTTTTGGGCATAAATTTAGTGATGGCGTACATCAGATATCCCAGAATTCGGCTTTAGTGGTTAAGTGATAATGGCCTGAGGATGGACCTTATTGCAGATGCTATGCCTGTTAATAAATTTGAATCTATTTTGAGGTTTTTATATTTCGTAAATAGTCGTAATGTAAATCAAAATAACACGGACAAATTGCGAAAAATCCGGCCATTTTTTGATAAAATTCAGAAAAACTTTTTAGGTGCCACAGATCCAGAGGAATACCAATCAGTTGAGCAAATTATTCCACTAAAAGGAAAATTAGGTATAAAGCAATACTTAAGAAAAAAAACAAAAAAAGTGCTGTATGGAACTGAAAACATAGTTCGACATATCAAGGCAAACCGAATAAGATGGACAGGTCACATGGTACGATCAGAAGATGACAGAGTGTTAAAGACAGTCTTTTTAAAAGACCAGATGGTAGAAGATCAGTAGGGCGACTGAGAAAAAGATGGAAGGATTATGTTGAAGCCGATTTATCTAGAATTGGGCTACAACAATGGGAAATGGAAGCGCAAGATCGTAGAGGATGGAGGGCGATAGTGGATGCCGCGAAGACTCACCCTGAGTTGTAAAACCAGTGAAGAAGAAAAACATTTGGATCAGTTCAGATTTATCGACTGTTCTCATATATAATGAATTCGTGGCCCTTTTTTGAATTGGGGAGATAGGAAAAAGGATCTTGTTGTGGCAAAATAGTTGTTGTTATATTTTTACTCATATTAACGAAGTATTCATTTAGATTTTCAGGGTTTAGAAGAGAAAATGTTTGAGCTGTTAGTTTTATTTCGAAGATCGTTTATTATGGACCAAGTTTCTCTTGCAACAATTTTACAGCTTCCCAGACAATTCTGATAGTACATTTTTTTAACTGTTTTGATCATTTTTGATAGGTTCCTCTGTATTTGGAAATATATTCAGTGACAAAGACATTGTTTTGACTTAATTGTAATTAAAGGAAAAATTAGTTAACTTGTTTTTTACAATAAAATATGAAATTGGTATCAAAACTAATTTTGTGCAATGTGTTTCATAATATTTTTGCAAGGGAGCTTGATTTCATTTACAATGCTATTTATTACATGTACAAGCAAAGTTGGGGCATGTAAACCTTTAAACAGAATATCACAGCCCAAATGTCATTATCATCTGCTCAACTGGTAGAACTAGCCAGTACACCCTGCCTGAAACTAACGAAGCTCACAAGATGACACAGTTTGGGCAGTATATTCTTAACATCACAAGCAAGGAGAAAATGTCTTGATACCACATGCAGAAGAATTCAAGCCTGGTCCATGAAAAGGTAGGAAACTTTTTAATAAAATAATCAACACCAAAACTACATCAATAAATTTATTCTTAAATTAGATTGGTACATAAAAATTTGACTACAACTATAATTAAAATGCCTTATTCAGCTGCTCCACCTCTGTAGTGTTTGATGTTGACTAGTACCCAGGCTGGAACAGTTACAATTCCTACAGTCAAGGCAATACCATGAGCAAGTTTTTCAGCAGCAGAGATTTTTACTTGTGGTGGTCCAGAGATAGCTGACATGTTTCTAATTTGCTGGAGCTGTTGTACCCTTACAGCAATTCTGGTAGCTGATGCAGCAAACATTTCTATAAAAAAACACTAATTAATAATTAAAGGAAACAACACAAATTTCGTAGTTAAGTATATATAAATAATTTAAGTTAAAACTAAATTCAATTCACCAAAATTGTTAAGACTTAGATTATGTAAATAATAACAGTTATATCCCATTTAAAAGTGTCCTAGATACTTATAATACGACGGCGCTTGAAGAACAACCGTTTCTTACAGACGAATAAATATACAAAATGTTCTTAAACCATAAATCCAAATTAAAATGTGTGGAGAGCTCTTGAAATTTGGGTGTATACAGAAACAATAAATTATACATGTGGAAATGATTTTTAATGTTTAGAAACACATCTGGGGGTTGTTGGGTAAATAATATTTTTTACAAAGTTATTAATTATAAATTTTACTTACTGCAATATTTTTTTGAAGATTAGGTAACACTTAAAGTAAGGCAAGCTCGATCAAATATCAAATTGTCTCTAATGACAATGACAGCTGTCGAATTCTATCTTCTTTTTTCTTGTGTGACAGATAAATGAAATCTATTTTTTGGTAACACGGATAGCCAAAATAAACCATTTGTATTTGTGCACCCTTTCGTTTAGTAGCACTGCTAGTCTCGTTCCTGCGTTGTCACAAAAAACAATTATTTTTGGTTTGTATTAACAATATTTCTTGTAACATTTTTATAAATAAATATTTTATTCTACATTGTATTCTTTAATTTTTTTAACCACTTTGCTAGTTTAATGTAATGAAAAATAAATATAACCTCAACATAACAAGATAACCGTACCGTATAGTATAGAATAAGAATTTTTTGTTACTTTAGGCACAGAATACCCACTCTCCACGGAAAATTAAGTACGCGCATCTCCTCCGCGCAGACGTTCCGCCATGTTTTAGGAGGATTTTAAAGAAATTAGTGTTGTTTATGTGGTGTGTATGGAAAAATTAACCAGGTTTATTTGACTTACGGCAATCATAGACATACTATACAATTATATTAACATTGTTAAATATAATAACATAAATATAATATAATTAAACATAAATATAAACAATTACATAACCACACAAATCATATGTCTGTGTCCTCCTAAAACATGGCGCGCGTGCTGAAAAACTTCAAAGGCGGCATCTGAGAGTGGCCCTTCTGATTGCTTATTATTCTGTGCTTTAGGATTATATTAATTTTTCCTTATGGCCATATGACACTAGAGGTAATGGATTCTAACAAGAGCTATAAGTCATGCCGATATACCTGTTATTTACAAGGTCACAGCTCTTGTCAAAATCCATTACCTTTACACATCTTCTTGTACAATTTCTTGAATGAATTTACAATCCTAGGTAATTTTACGATCCTTTTGAATTTACCGCCATGTATTATGTAGTTCCGCACCCTGGCACTAAACAATGCGCCAATCTTTGTTTTCTCGTTAATACGGGCGGGACTGACACTGTTAGATGGGAGTGTGCTGTGTAACTGATCGTGTATTTGTATTTTATGAAGAGAAGAATTACCGTTTTTTTTTTTCATTTTTTAGTCAAAGTTTAAAAAAATTTCAAAAATAGCGCTTCCCCGGTTTCATTGATTTTTACCAATATAAATTTACAGTAAGGTTAATCGATGGAAAATATAGATAGATTGTCACAAGATGAATACGAAAATCAGTATTATGAATTTAGTTCCACAGATTTAATAGAAAAATGTAGGTTAAAATACCCTATTAAAACTAATACATGTAAGAATTAACTATGTTTGTGTGTGTGTATTCTTCTTAATACTTTTAAGCTCTGGTTATGAGAAATACGTTTTCCCCTTGTATCAGCGATTTTTAATATGACTATTAGTTAACCTAAAACCCTCCTTTAAATAAAATCTTTGTTAGTTCAGTATCGCAACCTTTAAGTACTACTTAATAGGCTCTTCCTCGTCTCTGCTACAATACAGTCTCTCATTTACCAGTTCTTACAAGAGTTGTTCAATTCTCAAGGATATACTGCTTTTTTCAGTTAATGATGTAGTTAAAAGGACAATACAGCTTGCTTTATCTAATGTGGAAAATGGATTTGAAATGGTTGGTAGTTCTGAAACTATCCATAAAGATTTGCTTAGGAGTCGGATAGATCAATTGTATGGTTTCTATATGGATAGTGCCAAAAAGGCTCTCTGTAAATTTGAAGTAAGTGAATGATCTAGGTGTTTCTGTAAACATACTTATTAGTGATCTATAATTGAAAAGTGTGTAGTAAATTTTTCTATTGTTTAAAGAAGATGCTTATTTTATGTCTCAATATACTGTGATATATTTTATTGTACTGCGAATTTGATTTTAGAAAGAAGCAAGAAACACATTTGCAATACCTCCTAATGTTTTACTTGAAGAAGATGAACTCAAAGTGGAAACAACCACAGAAGAAGAAATAAAGAGTTTGAAAAATGACTTAGAAGAACTAACGAAGACACTTATTCAAGTAAGATTTAGTATTAGTTACTGTATTCCATCAGGACTTTGTTTCCTACAGCATCTTTTGTCATAATTTGTGTTTACCAGCTTTTCATATTTATTTTAGGAAAAAGTGTTTTTGGCGAAATGTAACAAAATGAAAGAAACTTATGACAATAATGTTAACCCTATCTACAAAAAAGTAAGTGGCATTTTGAAAATGGCGAAGAATAACTTGAAAGATTCTTCATCACTACAGGATACCAAACTAAGGGAAGTTTATTACACTAAAGTAGAACCATTTATAGGCACAAAACACAGTGAAGAAGATGATGTTAAGAACAATGACTTTTTTGATTAAAAATTATGTTTTGTATATCTAGATAAGTAAATGTATTTTATATTTTGTCATATATATGTATTTTGTGGATATTTTTATTATTTATTTATTAACAGATATACCATTTACATTGGAACAAAATTTAATATATAAAATTTTACAAAGTAAGCATAACATTGGAAAACAATTAGTAAAGTTTAACACAAACTAATAATTAACTTGAATACAAACTAATATCACACAAATAGCAGTCTCTTTATCACTTTTCAAATTGTTCTAAGGACTGGAAATATAAGTCCAGATCACTTTGGTATGTATTATATAGTCTCACCATATGAGTAAGTATGTATGAGGAAGTATTCATCATTCAATTGATGAAATGGTAGATGAAAGAACGAAGTATGCCTAGTTCCATGAAGAGTGTTATGACCTAATTGATTTAAAAGTTTAGGGCAATTTATCAAATTATTAGCAATTTTGTAAAGGAATATTAGGCAAAAATAATCTTTTCGCCAATTCATAGAAACCATTTTCAAGTGATCAGCTATCACACTATAACTTTATGGGACAGAGAGGTCATGAAAAGCACTACAGTAATGACAGTATTTACCAAATTTATGCTGAACATGATCAAGCTTGTCTATAGATGTTTGATAGTAAGATCCCCATACAACTATTGCATATTCTAGTCTAGAGCGAATGAGACTATTAAAAAAAATTGGTAAAACAAAACATGAAAATTGAGAAGTGTTTCTAGTTATAAACAATAATTGTTTAAATGCACTGTTTACTGTAACCTCTAGATGCTTACGAAATGCTAATTTACAATAAAAATTAACCCATTCGCTGCATGTACCTGCACATCCACTCACACCTACTGCGTATTGATTACTGGACTGGCTAAGTAAATTCGAAGGGAGCTCTGATGCCAAATGGCGGCATGCGCACTAGGCATCAGATCATAGAGCCGCCAAATGGTGTCATACGCAGTGAATGGGTTAACACCGACATCCTTAACACAGTCCTGTCTAGACAGCTGAGTGTTATCAATGCTATAATCGTAATTTAAAGTTGTTTGCTTCAGTGAAAAGTAATAAAATAAAATAAACCCCATTTTATTAGCCTATTGAGCATCTCTCGATTGAGGTTGTAATTGCCAGCCAAGACCACAGAACTTTGTGTATGTTGACTTATTAATTCCTCAAGAAAGGTGCAGTGATATTCATATGCCTCAGCTAATGAACTAGGTGATATATAGATTCCTCCTATTATAAGATGATCATCATTCAGTTTAACTTTCACAAAAAGTTGTTCTATGTTCAACAAGTTTGACTTACATATATATTGACATATATTTTAACATTATCATCAAATAAAACACATTTTATTAAAAACAATATTTATTATTAATCTGATTCTACTTCAACTTCTTCTGTTTCTAATTCCTTATCCCAATCTTTCATTTTTGCTCCCATCATAAAATCTTCCTTCAAAACGCTCCAAGTAACATCACTGCTTACATTCTTTTTACTTTCTCGTTTTTCTTCCTTTTTTTCTACTACATCCACATTAGTGTCCAATTTCTGTGATTTCTCACCCATAAGAACATCCAAAAATGCTCTTTTATCTATGTTTTTCAATACTCTCTCTTTTCTAACTTCAAGAGGTCCAGCTTCTTCTAATTTTTTCGTAATATCTTTCTGTTGTGATTTTACAGCATTAAACAACTGAACCACACCTTTTGTTGCTATTTTTTGTAGAAGACGTTCACGATCCTTTTCTAGAATATTTGGTTTTACACGTAGTTTTGGTATTTCCTTTCTCTAAAACATAAAAATGACTGGATCAACTGACATTCTCCACAAAAGCATGTGCTTATTCTTAATAATATTTACCTTTTTTCTCAGTGGTTCTGAAACTTCTGATTTGACATCTTCAGATAATTCTTCCTCTTCTTTAACTGGAGCTGCACCATCTTCACCAGCAATCTCAAAACCAAGAGGCTCCTTTTTTGCTTTCTTAACATCTGTAAGTTTTTTGGCCTTTGAAAGTACTAAACTTTTGCTCTTAGCCTTTGGTTTTTGCTTTAATATTTTTGAAATTGCATCCGCCCAACCAGTGTTGGCTAGATCATTGTCTTCATCTTCTGAATTATTGGAATCTCGATCTGATTCTTCACTTATATTATCATCTGAGGAATTATCTAAAAAATATATATACACATGTAATAGATTGTAAAAGAAAAAGGGCTCAATTGCTAAAAGGTGGTCAGGGAGACCATAAGAAAAATAGGATTGTCTGATTGAAGAGAAAAGGTAAAAACCAGATGTTAATTTTATTCATTCATCATAAAATGAAACAAATGTTTATCACAGTAAAGTGCTTTTAAATTTTGTATTACTGTATATAAAAATATATATAAAAACCTTCAAGTTCCTGAACTTTTGTAGATTCCATGATAGTCATCTTACTATGATATGAAATGATTAATTTTCTAAAATATCAAAATAAAAACATGTATTCCTAATTGAGGTTAAAATTATATCTCTTCTTCTGCTCAAGTATATTGAAATTACATTTATTGTGATTCCAACAGCACACCTGTATTCAAATATTTTACAACCTAACATTAGATAAGAAAGTATATACAACAAAATAGTTATAATAGTAAATTTTTTACATTATTTTTTATTTTTGTACTTCTAAATCTGATTTATTTTTTAATATTTTTACTCGTCTAACTTTTGACAGTAGACTGACCTTCATTTTGAAGGTATCCATGGCAACCACATATTGGTGACTTTAAACATAACCTTTCTATTCAAAATCGAAAAATTTTCCCGTTGAAAATGAATAATTATAAAATTGTTGGAAGGGCTGGAGAAGGGGCGCACGGGTTTGTTTTTAAAGGAATCGATGTAAGAACAGAAACTCTAACAGCATTAAAGAAAATAACCATAAATCCAAATAAGGACATTCCCAAACCCGTTATGAGAGAAATACTTGCTTTGCGCGTTTTAAAACATCCAAATGTAAGTTTTGGACTTAAAATTTTTAAGTTGTTGTAATGTTTTGATATTTAATTTATCTAAACAATTCGTTATTTTGTAAGAAAACATAAGATTGTTACATTTTTTGAACTGGTATAGTTACAAGGTTTTGAATTTGATTTTAATCATTTGCACTATCAAAAATTTGATAAAAGAATCAATCACCATTACTTAACTTTACTTTTTTCCATCGTACGCGTAGACGTACCTCTTGCACTTGCAACTCGTAACGAGTGTGGATCGTCTTAGTGTTGTTAAAGTTTTTTCCGGATTTCGTCCGCGATATTCTGTAATAATTCACGAATTCTCGACTCGACTCGACGTCATTATCATGATACAATACCTATTTCCACATTTGGATAAAACAGTTAGTTCTAATATTAAAAGTTTTGGTTTTGAGTTCAGTCACTTTGAGTGTAAAGTTTGTTTATCTATGTGTTCAACGTCGTAAATTTCGTATTTCTCTGGATTCATTCTAGTCTGGATTGATAAACTTTTTCACGAACAATTGTATGTTGTATACAGTTTTGTTTCTGGGTTCCTAAGATAAAATTCCATACCGTGGCATAAAAATATATCTGTCCCTTATACTCCTGTAAAATATTAGTCGCAAAAGTTTACATTTGCAAGCATAATTTGTTGCATTTCTAAACGGTCACGACGATCATACGAGCCCCTTCCCATATCATTTGGCCCAACGTTAGATTGATAAGAAAATTAAATTTTAGAGAACAAAACAGCAAAAAAGTGCTGAAGATGAGGAAAGCCTGTAGGAGCCAAAAGGAGTTTTGGTACCTACGTCGCGCCCAAATCTGATTATAAATCCTTTAAAAGAAATGTATAGAGTTTAGGGCCCTAATAACTTGAAAACACAGTACTTAAACAAAAAAAGCAGTGTTAGATAGACTAATAGAACTGACTTACCTAGTTTTTGCATGCATAATACAGTAAATAACCATTTACTTTTCTTGTACCTTTTTCTGGAAAAGATCACTCCCTATCACAATCAACTAATTTCATAATCTACGTTATATTCGTTTTTCTATATTATATGACTGATTATGGTAGTTGTTGACCTTTTCTTGCAAAAATGCAACAAATATTAAACACTAGCAAAGCTGTAATTTACTGAAATATGTACTTAATGAGTTTTTCTTGTCATCAGAGGATACATAGTTTTTTTTTTCTGAATTTGAATATTGATTATATCTTAAGTAGTAACTCTTCTTCTTCTTCACTAGCTTTACAACTCGGCGTGAGTCTTCGCAATTCGCCGCAGCATTGCGGCGTCTTCACCAATCCCCTGTGAATTTATCTCTTTGAGGGCCAAATATTATTCTGAGAACCTTTCTTTCAAATACTAGAAGCTTATTGATTTTCCGCTGGTTGAGAGACCATGTTTTACTGCCATATGTAATAATTGGGTGAATAATCGACTTCTACAGAGTTAATTTAGATTTTCTTTTTAGCAGCTTCGATCTTAAATGTTGAAAAGGAGTATAATGCTCTATTTCTCGCAGCTATCCTTGCTGAGACCTCTTTTTCTATGTGGTTGTCAGCTGTGATTATCGCACCTAGGTATTTAAACTCCTTTACTACTTCGAAGTTGTGATCATTAATACTGATGTTCTGCCTAACTCTTGGTCTTGGATTGTTGGTTACTACAATGTATTTTGTCTTTTCTTCATTTATTCAGAGACCCAAACTACCTGTTTCCTCCTCGAGCTGTGAAAACACCTCTCTCACGTCTCTTGTAGAATGCGTGACTGCATATATATCATCAGCAAAGGCCAGCAACAGTTTTGATCCTTGATCAGCAAATCCTCCTGTCAGCTCAGACGATATTTTACTTATTGCACATTCTAAAGCAAAATTGAACAGCAACGGTGACAAGGGGTCCCCCTGCCTAAGTCCTGAATTTATACCAAAGGGCATCGAAGTTTCGGAATTGTTCTTTTTTCCTTTCTTATATATGGGAATTATAACGCTTCCGTTCCATTCTCTAGGCATTTTCTGTTGTTGCCATACTCTGAGAATTATGTCATATAATTTTTGGTGTATAAGGTTTCCTCTTTTTTAACAATTCTCCATTTATGCCATCATAAATGATCGCATTCTTTACTTCCTCAAGTGTTGGTGCTGGTATTTCGATATTTGCAAAATGAAACGTAATTTCTGCTTCCTCCGTCTCAATTTCAATATTTAGTAAATTCCAAAAGTATTCCTTCCATCGTTCGACGATTATAAGTTGACCTGCTTCATTTCTCATAGGCTGTGTTACTCCAATACTTTCACCTTTTCTTACTGACTTCACTTCACTAAAGAATTTCCTTATTTGATTCCTCTCGCCACTTCTGTCCATTTCCCGGATTTGCTGTTCTAGGTAACTCCTCTTTTTAGTTCTGAATAGTTGCCTTGTTTGTGCTCTTGTTCTGTTAAAATCTGCTTTGTTCTCATCTGTGAGTAACTCTCCTTGTTTTATTTATATTAGAGTGTAACAGATACAGGTGAAAATAAAAAAAAATGTGTATCTGTAACTGTATTCCACAATACAACTGTCAATTTTTTGAGGTTAGATTGCTCATCTTAAACTCAGACAGCAACTTAAGCTGAGAATAATGGGGACTTGAGATTAGGATCGGTTCAAGCTGAAAATTGATCTAAGACTCAATAGTGCAACGCATATGTTTCGTACGCTGAGCTTCACGCACGTCTTAAGCTTAAGATATGTTGGTGCAACCAGGCATGATAGTCGCTATATCGCCTTTGATAGTTTTTTTTAAGTTCCAGACAAAATTCCAATAATAAATAATTTCAATAAACCTTGCAAACAATGTACTATTATGATGTTTTACGCCAGACTAAAATATGAGGGTATGATATTTTCAACTTAATATTTTTTTTGCAGATATTAAGCTTGCTAGAAGTCTTTACAGTGGGAAGTTCTGTAGTTTTAGTAATGGAATATCTACCTATGTCCTTGTACGAAATTCTTAAGAACAAGGAGCTTACATTGACGCTAGGACAAATCAAAACTTATCTTAAGATGTTATTAAGAGGAATCAATTATATGCACCACAATCATATAATGCATAGGGTAAGAGTGTTTTATTTTGCTTATTTATTGTTTTTCTTTATTTAAGGTAACCTACAAAACTCGATAATTCTTCGGAATGGGATTTGGAACCGTTAGGCCTTCCTGTGATGGAGGAGACAATACCCAAGAGATTAAATGTCTCATCGGAAAGACAAAAGGTGCATACTTGACTATAACTTCTGTGTTCAAGAGCTATGACCTCACCCTAGAAACAAAAATAAGGCTCCGTAAATGTTTAGTGTGCTCAGTGCTTCTGTACGTAGTAGAAACGTGGACATTGAAGGTGGAAACTCTATCAAAACTTCAGGCTTTTGAGCTATGGTTATACAGAAGAATCCTGAAGAACCATGGACAGACAAAATCACCAATGAAGCAGTACTGCTTAGGATGCACACAACCGCGGATTTGGTCAATATCGTGAAGGGCCGTAAACTCCAGTACTTGGGACATATAATGAGAAATCAAGGCAGATACGAGCTACTTCAATGCATTTTTATGGTAAAATTGAAGGAAAAAGGCCCCGGGATGAAGAAGAATATCCTGGCTTGCTAACCTGAGAGCATGGTATAGAAAGACAACGCAGCTATTCCGTATAGCAACCAACAAAGTTATCATAGCCAGAATGATCGCCAACGTTCGGAACGGACAGGCACCCTAAGAAGAAAAATTTGGCGTTCTTTGTATTATTCTGTTCCTCTTAAATATCGCTGAATGATTCTCATATTGCTTCTGTTTGAATACATCCTTTGAATAAAGTTTCTCATCAGAAACATTTTAATTTATCGCGTTCTCCACGTATTGAATAAAATAAATATCTTATTAACCCATTCGCTGCCATGTTCCAAATTTGGAACGATTGTTAGTTTCGCTGCTGGTTACAAGATGTCACTTTTGGTCTTAAATCTGATAAACTATTTTTGTTCCGTAGTGTCAAAACAACACGTTCATACTGAATTTACTCACTGGTTTCGTATAAGTGGCATTTGTTTTGTGATTCATATCAAAATTTCAAGGAAGGTGCAGTTGTATAACTTCTAGTTCGATTATATCTATTTTCTGTTGTGAAATATTACGATCGGGGTAAGTTTAAGCAATATTATATGCCTATACAATGTATCTGTATCGTTTAAATGCTTAACCTCAAATTGAATATACCGAGTAACCTCTAGTTTTTGCATGTTCCAAAAATGGAACTTGGCGGTATATGTTGCTAATTGAGATTTTTTTTTAGTTTGGTATTATGGATGTGAAAACATTTTATGGAAAGAAAACGAGTTGTTCAGCTGATACTCTGAACAATCTAATCGATGATCTAAATAAGAAGCAGAAGGAGTTTGATTCTGCAAACATATACATTTATCCTCCAGCAGAAGATTTTGAATCATCGGATGATGTGAATTTCAATGATTTTTCTGATTAGTTTTCATGAAAGATACTGAACGCCCCAGCTGAGACAACTGTTATTTCACAATGTGAGACACAAGACGCTGAAGATATGTTCTCGACGAGCGATGATGAACTTCAAATAAATATGGGTCAATCTAATAAAAGAGCGAATAAATCCAATAGACAAAACGACTGGAAAAGAGGTGACTTGTTCCTAGATAATCATCAAGAAAATATCTCACTTTCAAATCGAAATAATGTTCACTGTGAAAGTGCAGTCGATTTCTTTACACTTTTTTGGTGTGATAATTTCTTTAAATACATAAAAGACGAGACTATAAAGTATGCCCATGACACAAAAATGCAAACACTTCATTTGAGGTTACGATTGAAGAACTCAAAGTATTCTTTGCAATCCTACTGATTTCTGGTTATTCCCAAAGGCATCGGAAAGATATCTACTGGAGTTTGGAGATTAAACGCCATGCCGAGAAATAGGTTTAGAGAAATTTTGCAAAATTTACATTTTTCAGATAACACTAAGCTACAAGAAAATGATAAGTTTGCTAAAATAAGACCATTCATAGAACATTTAAACAGTTCATTTATAAAATATGTGCCGGTTGGTGAAACCATATCAGTATCTGTTGATGAATCCATGGTACCGTACTACAGCCACCATAGCTGTAAACAGCGTATTCAAGGGAAACCTATTAGATATGGGTTTAAATTTTGGTCTCAGAATGTATCAAATGATTATCTTGTGGGTACCGAACCTTACCAAGGGAAAGGAACCTTACTAGGAGAGAGTAACTTAGGGCTAGGTGGATCTGTAGTTACAACTTTTGCCGAGAGGGTGAAGCATAATTTTTCAGATCAAAAATTTTACTTTTTTTATTGACAACTTTTTTACCGGACTTCCACTGATATAGGCCGTGAGTGAATTGGGATATGGTTGAATAAAAACGCAATGAAAAAATCAGTTAGAGGATCCGTTGATCCATACACAAGTTCTGATGAAGATATAATAATTATCCATTGGAAGGATAATGCCATCGTTCACGTGGCTTCAAATTGTTATGGCGTTCAACCTACAAAATCGGTACGTCGTTATTCTGCAGCAGAAAAAATATATATAATGGTAGACGTTCCCTACGCAATTCAGTAGTATAATACTCATATGGGAGGTACTGATTTAATGGACAGAAATATCGCTAACTATAGATCAAAACTGCGTAACAATAAATGGTGGTGGCAAATTTTTGTTCACCTTTTGTCTGCTTTAATCTCTAACGCATAGACTTTATATAGAATTCAACACCACAATAACATTCAATCTAACGCTGATGAATTCGTTGACAGTATGCGTCCATTGGATTTATTAGGGTTTACAAGAACCATTGTGGCAACATATCTACTACTCAACCCTCGACAACCAAAACTTGATAAGACAAAATTAGGAACATTATTTCGAAAAATTCCAGGATCTCTTTCACAAAATATGTCGGTTCTGCATTACCCAATTTCTTTAAAACAAAACAGATGCAAAATTTGTAAAACAAACACAACTTTTGGATGCGGTATTTGTAAAATTAATGTACATCCTCTTAATTGCTTCAAATCTTTTCATAAAAAAATTAATCTCTCAAAATGTTATCATTTTTTTATCAATAAATGTTTAAGTTTAAATTGACGTTGTTGATTTTTTATTACCTGTTTATGGCCATGTTCCAAAATTGGAACAAAAAATTGTTAGACACAGGGCTATTGTGAAAAGATTAAGAATTTTTTAAATATTTTTCTATAAATTCAGAACATAGAATTGACCTGTAGAAGCTATAAAATTAAAAAAAAAGAAGTTTGGCAGCGAATGGGTTAAATAAGATACCTTGGCCTTCAATGGAAGTGATTGACGTAGTCGTAGATATCTAGACCGCAGCAACAAATAGACAAAAATAATAATATGGTATTATAGTTAATAGCTTCAACTTACTTTTTTCAGCTTTATTCCAATTTATGTTTCTTTTTATAATTGTTTGTTTTTAATTTGCCAGAGCCTAAATTCATGTTACATATAATTAAAACAATATACTTTTGTGTATGATTTTGATTTTTCCTAAATAAATTTTTTTCCAGGACATCAAACCGGCGAATCTTTTAATAAGCAAAAAAGGAATTTTAAAGATAGCTGACTTCGGTTTGGCGAGGATCTACGATCACGAAAAGCGCCGTTTGTATTCGCATCAAGTTGCAACGAGATGGTATAGGGCTCCTGAGTTATTGTACGGATCGAGAACGTACAACATGGCTGTGGATATGTGGTCCGTGGGATGTATTTTAGCCGAAATGATAATGAGGAAACCGCTTTTTCCTGTAAGAATCAATTTTGTGTTTACAGATAAGATAAATTTGTTTAGATTGTTTAACATTTCCTTCTTTAGTTGTAAAATATAATATTGAATTAGTGTGAAAAGTTAAAAGATAAGTGTGAATAAATTCAGGAAATATGTGGTATAAAAAATGTGTTTCAAAGCTGGCGTTTGTAAATTTTGAATCTTCGACAATTAAAAACAATTTTTCCGTATGTTTAATGAAATATGCCTTTTTTGGGGTTCAAGTCAAGTCAAGTCAAATTTATTGATCACATGCGACATTATACAAAGTACATGTATGAGACAAGTCAAAAATACAGACATAAATCTTAAAATTATATAAATTAATTAAACACGATAAAACATACTTAAAATTTATTTTTAGAATATGGCTCTAGCTCACAAGAGTATTGATGTACACACCTCCGAAAGTTTGGCTGATGTAAATTTATTCGTATATCTATTGGTAATTTGTTAAAGAACAGACGTTCCTGTGACTAGAATGTTGGTATCATCCGCATAACTGATAATGTTAACCCCAGTCAGTGAATTAGTTACCACAGTTATATCATTAATAAATACTATAAAAAGTAGAGGACCCAATACACTACCTTGAGGCATACCATAATGGATATCCAATGTGTTTGATTCGTTTACAAGTCCATTAGATGTTATCTTTACTTTTTGTCTTCTATTCTCTAGGTAGGAAGTAAACCATTTTAGAACTATACCACGAATACCAATCCCCTCAAGTTTTATTAGCAACAAATTATGATCCAAAGTGTCAAAAGCCTTGGACAAATCGAGAAATAAACCACATGCCTTTTCTCGTCTGTCCAAAGCATCCAACACTAAGCTGACGAAATTTGCAAGAGCTGTAGTTGTAGACTTAGAAGATGTAAAACCATGTTGAAAATTATGCAAGACACTATGCTTTTTCAGAAATGCGTTCATTCTAGTATAAACTAGAGTTTCAATTATCTTTGAAAACACAGATAAGAGACTTATGGGACGATAGTTGTTAAGGTCATCTTTATCACCACTTTTGAATAAAGGGATTACAATAGATAGTTTATACATACTAGGAAATATTCCTTGTTGTAAAGAGGCATTATAAATATCCGTCAGTGGATCTGCGAGAGCATGAATGCATTGTTTTAATAACTTAGGGGAAATCTGATCAAAACCACAACTGTGTTTGGATTTAAAACTTCCGACTATACTAGTTATTTCCTGTGCGTTAGTTAGATATAAAAACATAGAACTATTACGGTTTTTTGATGCTGATGTAAACCCATCTATTTTAGTAGGATCCAAAGCGGCAAGTAACTTTGGAGCCATTTCAACAAAATGGTGGTTAAATTTGTCTGCTAAATTACTGTTATCATCACTAGGTACTTTTGAGTTATTTTGTTTCCCGACTGTTAAGTTTACTAAACGCCAAATACATTTAATTTTATTTGATGATTCGTTTAACTGTCTCATGAAGTGACTACTTTTAGCAGCTTTTAATTTAATTGAATATTCTGCCTTTGCCAAATGAAGGACTGGCCTAAGACTACTGGTTCGAAGGGTACACATGGGGAATCTTTCCAAATATTGAACCTGAAACATATTCTGAGATAGTTCTTCTTTCGACGAAAAGAAGCATTACATTTGCTGAGCTTGGAGGCGACCAAGAAAAAAAGGAAAAGGAAATGCTGAGTGCACCCAAGCGTTTAGAACTAAGATGTGACGGTTCTCATTAGTCTTATGTGTATTTCTGACACCTGTTCCGAGTAATTCTGGTTTAATCAATATTTAAACTTTATAGTTTTAAACTTACTGATACCATGCGATCGTAGTTTATATACCTAAAGCGTTCTACATTTTAGGGGGAAACGGACATAGAACAGCTAGCAATTGTATTAGGAACTTTGGGTACACCGAATAGTGAAACGTGGCCTGGTTTGACGCAATTACCCGACTATAATAAAATAGCTTTTACGCATACAGAACCGAAGGAATGGTCGGCGATTTTATCCGAAATCGATCCCGCGACTATTAAATTGATAAGCAAGATATTGATATACGATCAAAACAAAAGGATGACGGCAAAGGAGGTAACTATTTTTATATTCTTTTAGATGTTGCTAATAACTGTTTGTGTTTTAAATATTAAATATACACACGACCAAACTTATATGAAATCACCCAATATTTCAGATTTTGTAAAGTATTACTAATTTTTTTAAAAACAATCAAAAAATTTTACAAATACTTGAAATTAACAAAAACGCAAAAAAAACACGAACAAATGAAAACATTGCAATGGTTGACTAAAGCATCTAAAGAAAGATACATTCTTGTTGTTCATTTTAATAGTCAGTGTTGCCACTTCTAGCTCTAATCCAAGCTTCATTCCGACGAGGAATGCTTCTAATCAAATCGTCAACTTGTTCTTGAGGTAAGTTTGCCTATTCTTCTAGAGCGGCTTGAATGAGCTGATACGCATTACCTGGATTATCTCTTCGAGTTCTAACACTTCTTATAATGTTCCACACATGCTTCTTCTTCTCGTGCCACTCCTAGCGGAGATTGGAAATCATCATGGCCACTGCGACTTTGTTAGCAGCGCGCCTGAAAAGTTCAATCGAACTACACCCGAACCATTCACGTAGATTACGAAGCCACGATATTTTTCTTCTTCCCACACTTCTTTTGCCCTGCATGATGTTTCTTAAAAGTTCGTACTTTTATCTCATTTAGAATTTCGCATCTTTTGTCTAAAGTTTGGAGTACTTGCGTGTTAGTGACGCGGTCCATCCATGATATTCTGAGAATGCGCCTATAGCACCACATCTCGAAAGCTTCGATGTTTTTTATGGTCAACTGTTTTAGTGTCCAAGCCTCAACTCCATATAACAGGGTAGAAAAGACATAACACTGCAGCATTCGTATTCGTAACTTTATATTGATATCACGATTGCAAAAGAGTTTGCGCATTCTATTAAAGACTGATCTAGCGATTTCTATTCTACATCTAATCTCTTTTGTTTGATCAGTATCGTCTGTGATCCAAGCACCTAGATATTTATAACAGGGCACACGCTCAATCGTTGTATTGTCTATTACAAGATTAGCTCTGATGTTCTTTGATTTCGTGATTACCATAAATTTAGTTTTTTTCAAATTAATTTTCAAGCCGTAACTGTTACAGTATATATTGAGACTTTGAACGAGATGTTGTAGTTCTACTAGCGTTCCCGTTAGGAGAACTGTATCGTCAGCATACCTTATATTGTTGATCGTCTCACCATTTATTATCAGACCAAGATCTTCTTCCTCAAGTGCTTGTTCACAGATAGCTTCACTATACAGATTAAATAAAAGTGGCGATAAGATACATCCCTGCCGGACTCCTCGACGGATTTGAATTTCTTCTGTTAGTCTGCCCTCAACCTTGACATTTGCTGTTTGATTCCAATATAGATTGCATATAATTCGAATATCTCGGCTGTCTATATGTTTCTTTATTAGAACTTGTCTTAGTGGTTCATGTTGTACTTTGTCAGAGGCCTTTTCGAAATCAATAAAGCAGGCGTAAATTTCTTGGTTCATGTCTAAGCATCTCTGTGAAAGAACGTTCATTGCAAACAGAGCCTCCCTTGTACCCAGCCCTTTTCTGAATCCCATCTGAGTGTTACTGATGTCTACGTCTAATTTCCTATAGATCCTATTATGGATTATTTTTAAGAACAGTTTTAGAGCATGACTCATCAAAGCTATCGTACGATATTCGTTGCATTCCTTTGTATTTGCGTTTTTTGGCAGTAGTATAAAGGTCGAACGGAGCCATTCCCTAGGTATTATTCCAGTTCTATATATTGTGTTAAATAGATCTAGGAGTATTTTGATAGATTCATCGTCCATAAGTTTGAGCAGTTCTACGGGAATTTCATCAGGACCAGGGGCCTTACCACTTTTTGCTTGTTTGATTGCATATTCTATTTCTTCTCTGATTATATCAGGCCCTGTATCATCTGTATATTCGTTTGAGATTTCTTGTCTATCTTTGTCATCAAACAGTTGTGATATGTATTCTGTCCATCGGTTCATTTTTTGTTGTAAATCTGTTATAATTATACCATCTGTATCTTTGATCTGTCCTGTCTGTGTTGTTCTTCTCATTCCTGTCATTTCTTTAATCTTTTTGTGTACATTAAAAAAGTCATATTTTCGCTCCAATTGTTCCAACTCATGGCATTGCTCACTTAGCCATCTTTCTCTAGCTTCTCTTATTTTCTTTTTTATCAGTTTATCTGTTTCTTTGTATCTTATCGGATTATTTGTTTTGTGTACCCTTCTTTCACGCATCAACTGTAGTATTTCCTCATTCATCCATTCTTTATGTTTCCTTTCTTTCGGTGTTAAATTTTCTCTCCCTACCAACATTACGGCATGTTTAATATTCTCCCATTTTTGGTCTATGTTATCAGTATTTCTATTCAGTTTCTCTATATTTTGTAAATTTTCTTTGATGTTCACTATTGTTTTCTCTTTTATATGTTGTTCATTCAGTCTTCTCACGTCAATTTGTTTCTGTATGTGTTTTTTAATGATCTTTAGTTTTATTCTTAATGTGACTCTTACAGGATTATGATCCGAGCCTATATCTGCTCCTGGGTAGGTTTTAGCTGAGAGTATAGAGTTGCGGAATCTTTGACTAACAAGGACAAAGTCAATTTGATTTCTGACTACTCTACCTTTGGTGTCACTCGGAGATTTCCGTGTGTACAGTCGTCTGTTAGGTAACTTAAAAAGAGTGTTAGCAACTACTAACTCCTCCGCTTGACAAAATTGTACTATACGGTCTCCTCGTTCGTTTCGTTCTCCTAATCCATAGTCACCCACATAACCGTCCACACATCCATGTCCAATTTTGGCATTAAAATCGCCCATTACTACTGTAGTATGATGTTTCTTCATTGATTTTAGAATTTGTTCCAGATCGTAATAGAAACTTTCAATTTCATCATCATCTTTATCAGCCGTAGGAGCATATACTTGTATAATATTTGTAATTTGTTTATTTGACTGAAGTTGTAGTGTCATTATTCTATCAGAGAAGGGAGTAAAACTTGCTACACAGTTACTGATTTTCTTTGATACTAAGACAGCGACACCGTAACGATGAGTTGAACTGATAGTGCCTGAATAATAAAGTGTTCCACTGTTATTCGTGCATTTTCCTGATCCTGGCCACTGTACATCACTTATACCTAGGACATCAATTTTAAGGTTTTCCATTTCAAGGGCTACATTATTTAATTTACCTGCTGCAAAGAGGCTTCAATGGGATGCTCAATGGGATTAATATCAGGTGAGCAGGCAGGCCAGCTCAGAACAGTGACATCTTCAGTTTCCAGAAAGTCTGTGGCAACTCTGCTGGTATGTGGAGGGGCATTATCGTGCATGAAAATGAAAATATTTCCCACTGCATCTCGCCACAGCCTAACTATGGGTTCTAGTACCAAATCGACATACCGGCGACCCGTTAAGCTTTGCCGTAAGGAACGCAAAGGTGTTTTTTCTTCCATCATAATACCTCCCCAAAACATTACAGTTCCTCCTCTATATTTTGGAACAGATCTGGCTTGTCTGCCTCGACTTCTTAAAACCTGAATTCGTCGGTCATCTGATCTCAGGCCAATTCTGGTTTCATCTGAAAAAAGGACATTTTGCCAATCTTCATTTGTCCAGTTCTGGTGTTGCAGACACCAATTCAGCTGATCAATTTTGTTCTACAGGATAACAGGGAACCCTCAACTGCCTCCTGCTAAATAAATTTTGGGAACGAAGTCTCTTTCGTACTGTTTTAACTGAAATGTCAATACCTGTAGTCGGAAAAATTGACTTTGGAACTCCGGATGAGAAGAGGTTTGATTTCTTCCAGCTATTTGACCAAAAACCGGTATTGTCGATCACTAGTTACTCTACGACGACTTTCTCTAGGCCTGTTCTTCAGTGTACCCAATTCTAAAAATCTTGCATATGTGAATGATCCTTATGGGGCATTAAAAAAATATATGATTTAGGTTCTCTATTAGGCCACATTCACAGTAAGGGTTGTCCACCAAATTCAGTTTAAAAAGATGTTGACTTGTTTAACAATGACCGGTTCGCATTCTTATAATAGTTGTATAATAGTTGTAATGTGTCTCCTATCTTTATATGAAAAGTTTTGAAACCATGTCTTATCAGGGAAATATTTTGTACTCTGTAATACTGATTTTTTTGCTAATTATAGTTTTCCAAGTGTTTTTGAATTTGTTTTTAATCTTATTCTTAATTATTGGTAACACGTCTTGAGAATATAATTTTATATTCAAAGGAACATTAAGATCTCTTCCTATTTTAGCCCTTGTGTCAGCTTGTAGGGTGCCCGGTATATCGGAATGACCCGGTATCCATGAGATAGTATTTCAAACTCGTTTCCATTTACAGATGAAATAAGATTTTTGTTTTAAGGCACCAATAATCTACCGAAGCAAAAAGATTGCTATTATTAATTTTAGAAATTGCACTAAGAGAATCGGAAAAGATAATAACTTTATTGATCTGTCTATTAATGGACAAATTAACTGCTTGATATATAGCCATGTTTTCTGCTTTGCCTATGCACAGTTCATCAGGTAGTCTGGATGAAAATTTGTAATTGATACTAGGAATATAAACCTACTTTGTTACAATGTTTTGAGGCATCCGTATAAATGAGATATCAATAATCATTAATATATTTTTCAGTAAATATTGCAAATTTTTCTCTAATCCCTATATTCATTCTTTGTTATTTCACAATTCAGTGTTTTTATTGGACTGTTTGTTGTTTGTTTGTGTTTAAATGACTGCGGACACTAAATCCATCCGCCAATCTTACAATTTGAGGTGTAGTGTGTGTGTGTGTGTGTAGAGTAATTGTCTTGATACTTTGCAAAGTCGACGTCATTGTCTTTGCTAAGAGACGCTAATTGTATCCGAACGTCTGCGGTCCCTCCGGTGTGTACCGATCACACAAGGATAGAAATTATTTTCATTTATTAATTTTTTTAATAAACGAAAATTTCCACCCAGGTGGGATTCGAACTCACGACCTTAAGGTTTAAAGGCAGGCGCTCTTACCACTGAGCCACAGAGGGGTTTTTTTTGGACTGACTAATGTATCAAAATCCATCTGATAACATGGAAAATTATTACCTTTATATATTTTGTTAAAATATGGAAAAAAGTATTCTAGTGTTGAAACTAAGTAAAGAAAGTAATGATATTTTTATAATGAATCTTCATTATAAAAATTAGGTTTGCTTATAAATTTGTTCCATAAGTTAACAAGGGATAAAATCAAAGGATGGTTTTTGATATTAACAATCTTATTTAAAAATTTAGAAGCTAATATTAAAACTTCTATGTTTTAAATCATATTGCGCCGATTCTGCTAGCAAAGCCAAGTGAGGGGTAGATTTCATACAACCCAAATAAATTCTTAGCCCTTCAAAAAATACTGTGTTAAGTTTATTAATGCATATCTGAGATATAGGTCTGAATAAGAATGAACCATAGTCTAAGTGAGATCTTATCAAAGCATTAAAGACTATTAAAAGAGTCCTAGGTTTTGCACCCCACCATAATCTGCAAATCCCAAAAGAAAAATGTTTTGAAAACTGTCTCTCTTATTTTAGGAACCAATCGTATGATTTTAATATTATGTTTTAGGCATTAAGAGACAAATTCTTTCAAGAAAAACCGTTCCCTTGCAAACTGTCACAAATGCCCAAGTTAGAAGATTGGAAATCAAACGATTCATTAAATTTTACAGAATTCGACAAAATTTTCAATTCCATAAGCGACGAGATTGGCTGCGGGGATATTATCAAAAAAGAAAGACGTCGTGTATAGTTTTCGTTTAACTGTGAAGTGTCAGTTATTGGTTTTAGAAAAATTTATACACTTTTATATATTTTAATTATACTAAAAAAATTATACTTTTTTTTTTCGTTAACAAATTTATATTATAACTAAACAATTTATTAAACAGATTTTAAATCCGTATAGTTTATTTGATGGCTCATTTCCTTCTTCTATATGCCAGGTCCCCAAGTTTAGATATCTCGCTAGTTGGATAACTGAAGATCTAGATCCAGACAGAGATACGTAGCAGGATTGAGCAAGCCAGAACAGCATTTACTAATATGAGAACCTTGCTAAGCAACAGCAGCCTCAACTTAACGCTTCGATATCGCTTTGTAAAATGTTACATTTACTCCATACTTCTATATGGTGTAGAAACCTGGACCATAAAGGCTGCAACGTAATGCTAAATTGGCTCCAAACCATCTCTATTGGATTAAGCTCACAGTGATAGGGAGGCAATCGTAATATTTCTACGCCGTATTTCTCGACCAAAGTTTCGATGTTATACTTGTCGTATATATCTGCATAACTGTTTGTTACATCCAATAGTTCTGACTTTATATAATCTTCGTCATCAGATATATCCTTCTCTCGTAACAATTCTTGAATTTGTTGTTTGTTCCAGGAGGTTCTTGGAAAATTTTGTTTGCATGAATGATATGGAGCATTATCCATTACTACCACATTTTTTTCTCCTTTTGGGAGGTTTGCGATTAGTTTATTTTCAAACCAGTCTTCAAAAGACTCCCCGTTCATTTCGTCATGGTATTCGCTTGAATCTTTTTTTGCTAAAAATACACATTCTGAATTTAGTAGAAAACCTCTTTCAGATCCAACATGTAACAAGACAAATCTCGGACCTCTTTGATTTGGATCATTTAGACCAGTAGTCAAGATTTTTAAAAATTCATCCTTATAACTATGTCCGATATTTACCCAACTTTCATCCAAAATAGAAAATATTGTATCCTTGATTTCGATAATTCTGTATTTTTCTAAGAAATTTATGGCTCCAATTTATTATCTCAGGACGTTCCATCATTAATGCTTTCTTTCCTCTTTTTTCATAAACAAACCCCATCTCTCGCAATAGTCGATATAGAGTACTTTTGGAAAATTTAGGCAAATGTTCATGTAAATTAACGGCATCCAGGATAGCTTTGCTTGTGGGAGGTATGTTCTTTAAGGAAAATTCCATGTGAACAAGTCTTCTCAATTGGTTCCCGATGTTTTCATTGTAGGTAAACTCCCGATAGGTTTCCTTCTTGGTCCGTTTACGTGGGTTTTTCGGAATTTTGGGTAAGTCTCCATTATGATCCAATCCTATCGCTAACACCCAGCGCTGTACTTGTTGTAGAAACAATTTGTGTTGGAGTCAGATCGGAATTTGTTTTTGTTGTATATATCAACATATTCAAAATAATTTGTGGCGCATATAAATATAAGATTTGTCCTTCTTTGAAACTTTTCACTTCTAAATGCTCCATGTTTTTGTACCTTTTCGAATGCAAACACAAAACAGTTAAACCGTTTCTACAAACTGCAAAACTGCTATAGATATACGCACTCGTATAACAATTAGTAGATACTATTATCAGGAAAATACTAAATTACATTTATTTATTTACAATTTATTTATTTACAACAATACCAAAGTTTCTACATGGTTAAACCATTTCTACAAACGTCCATTAGTCAGTAAGCTATTCTACGACTTTCACTTCGAAGGTCATTATCGAAATACAAAATATTAATCAATTACAAAAATTTTGTTAGGAAAAAATTCTTCTTATCATTAAATTTAATCTGACCCATTCATATCGGCAAATCATATATATTAAACATTTTAAAGTAGAAGACATCAAAATGATATTGCCAATATTTATGAGTTGCAAGGATTTTATTGAAAGATTTTTTTTTGTGTGTGTTTTGGCTTGGACAATTGTCATTCAGCCAGTCTCAATCAAGATAAGTTTATTAATGTAGTGTGTGTGTGTTTGTGTGAGTAGAGTAATTGTCTTGATACTTAGCAAAGTCGACGTCATTGTCTTTGCTAAGAGACGCTAATTGTATCCGAACGTCTGCGGTCCCTCCGGTGTGTACCGATCACACAAGGATAGAAATTATTTTCATTTATTAATTTTTTTAATAAACGAAAATTTCCACCCAGGTGGTTATTGAAAGATAGTTCATTCAATTTTATGAAATCAACTTTAACTTAATATCAGTCACAAAAATCATAGCATGTGATTAGTATTTTAGGTTAAATCTTCGTATTTTGTGCTAAGGTATCTCCAGTTACTCTATGGATAACTGTTAATGAAACACCCTGTATAAATAATACTAAAATATAAATTATGTATCCTCGATATATTTTTGACTTATCTACTAATCGTGGCATTTTCTTTCTATTCATTTCAATTCTATTCAAAAGGTCTCCAAACATCCATTTCCGTAAATATGACAAGAGATGTAAGAAATTTTCTATTCGTCAAATACAACAGTGCTCAACAATTGATAAGGATCGAAGTAATATTTTACTCCAGAAATAGCCGAAGTTTGTAAAAATTTAATATAATTAAAGTAATATTAATACCCCGACTTTATTATCAATTTTAAATGAAATAAAATAAATTTTGCCATTATGGCCATTTTTTACTAGGGTCGGCAAAAAGTTGAATATTAAAGTCGTCTATTTTCATTTATTCTATGGGATCTCAACAAACTTTTAAAATATTTGAAATCATAATTATGATCCCTATCAATTGTTGAGCACTATATTACGACGACGTCCGAATATTTTCTGGAACAGTCATTATGGCAAATCAGTGAATGTTAGTGCAAAATTGCAAGTGCTCCGTGTATAAGGGAGTGTTAAGATCGAAGCCGGCTCTGCCACGTTGAGGCCGACGATGAACTAGCAACGCTGCAGCGTTTTCTTCCATTTGATTAACATTGTCCGTAAGAGCCAACGCTGAAATCTATTGGTGAATCCGAGTTTAGTAGGAAATTTTCAAAACTTTCTGTTACGTTGTCTCTGTGGGCTTTTAATAAGATTGACGACCAGTTTCTTTTTAATATCTTTTATTAAAGACCAACTAAACTTAATACATGATTATATCTAACGAGCCATCTTCTTCGACCTCTTGTCTGCTGTCAATCTCCTGTCACCCATGTTAAGGTAGGTTTACAAATATTAAGGTAGGTTCACATAACATAACATGCCCCTTTTTTTTTACAAAAAAAACTAAACTATCCCAACAACCTAAATCTACCCGCAACACTACACTGCCGCATTACTCTTCTGAAAATGAAAACCTTTTTGGTCTATTTACAATTCGACCACTCCTGGTACAAAATTGATTACTTACATTTAGTCTATGTGACCTATTTAAGTTAACATTTAAATTGTCATAACTTTGATTTGAAATTGATGTATCGTTGTTCATATTTGGAGCCTCATACAAATTGGAACTAGCTGCTGTACTATTTTCATGCTTAACTATCACCTCACTATTTTGTCTACTAATTGTACTGGCAGGCTTTAATATGTGTTGTCTGTTCCTACGATAATGTACACCTTCAGGTGTTCTGACGACATATGATCTTGGAAAAGGACCTATTTCTATCACAGTAGCTGGTAACCACGGTGATGATGGAACCTTTTTATAAAATACATTTTCTCCAACAAAGAGATTCGGTAAGTTTCTAGCTGACCTATCATGATATTCTTTTACTTTCCTTTCTTTTTCCTTAACAAATTTGCTATATTCGTTCCTATCAATTGTTTTTGGTATGAGTATTTTTTCACTAACAGGTAATTTCATTCTTAAATTACGTGACGTTAATAACTGAGCTGGAGAATAACCACATTCTAACGTTGTATTTCTGTATTGCAACATTCCCTGATATGGATCAGAGCCTGACTCTATACACTTATTAAAAATATTTTTTACAGTTTGAACTGTCCTCTCTACCAAACCATTACTTTTTGGATAATAAGGACTAGAACTTTGATAAGTAATGTCCCAATCTACTAAAAATGACTGAAACTCTTTTGATGAGAATGGGGGACCATTATCAGACATTAAGATCAATGGTATTCCATGTCTCGCAAATATAGACTTCATTGTACTAATTACCTCTTTTGCTGAAGTATTATTTAAAGGCGCTATTTCAAAGTATTTAGAATAATAATCTACTAATAATATATATGTGACTTTACTATAATAAAAAAGATCAACACCAATTTTCTGCCAAGGCAAAGTTGGTATTTCATGTGGTAATAGTTGTTCTGGACTATTTGATCTATGATATTTAAGACATGCTGGACACTGTTCAACTTTATTCTTTATATCTACTGACATGCCTGGCCAAAAAACTACTGTACGTGCTTGTCGAATACATTTTTCATATCCTAAATGACCTTCATGAATTATTTCTAATATAACTTGACGCAATGACTCAGGAATTATTATTTGATTTCCTCTAAAGACTAATCCATCCACAACATGTATTTCATGATTGAAATTGTAATACGGTTTAACCTCCGTTTCCAATTTATTTTTCGAACTTGGCCAACCTTCATTATAATATCTTATTATTGACTGTAAAACTCTATCAGTTTTGGTTGCTGCCTGTATTTCCATTAATTTCTTTGAAGACACAGCTAAATTGTTAACTAATAAACTTCCATGTATACGTAACTCTTCATCTCCACTATCAGTATTATCTGGACCTTCTACTGGTGCCCTACTTAATGTATCTGCGATGAAAAGAAATTTTCCTGGAGTATAGCTAACTTCTAAATCATAAAGCTGTAAGTTTAGCATCATCCTTTGCAAACGTGCTGGAACCTCAGATAATGGTTTTTTAAAAAGACTGACTAATGGTTTATGATCTGTTTCAACTTGAACTTTTCTACCATAAATGTATTGTTTAAATCTAGTACATCCGAACTGTATTGCATATAACTCTTTTTCTATTTGTGCATAATTTGACTGAGCCTGTGACAAAGATTTAGATGCATATGCTATAGGTTTTTTGTTTTGTAAAATCACTGCACCAACTGCAAATTGTGAACTATCAACTGATAATGTTAAAGGTAAATTGTTATCAAAATATGCTAGTACTGGCG